TACTAATAATATATATATATTTTTCTTCACCCTCGGTAAAGTGCTATGGCGTCACAGCTCACAGCTACCTCAAACTCTTGGGCTTAAGCGATTCTTTTGCTTCAGCCTCCCAAGTAGCTGGGACTACAGGTGCCCACCACAACACCTGGCTATTTTTTGTTGCATTCATCATTATTGTTCAGCAGGCCCAGGCTGGGTTCAAACCCGCCAGCCTCAGTGTATGTGGCTGGTGCCATAACCACTGTGCTATGGGCACCAAGCCTGTTACCAATAATATTAACAAACTCAAGTCTGTAATTTATTCAGAAATTGTTGGTTTTTACCAAATGGCCTTTTCCTATTCCGGGATCAATTCCAGGACAGTGCATTATATTCAGTCGTTGTGTGTCCCTGAGGTCCTCAGGCTGTGGAGTTTCTCAGAATCCCCTTTTGAGAAGGGTTGGTCAGGTACACTGGAGGATGCCCCTGTATTGGAATTTGTTTGATATTTTTCTCATTATTAGGCTTGAGTCATAGGCTTGGGAGAGGAAGACCACAGTGGCAAAATGCAGTTTTCATCACATGGCTGTCTTCTGTGTAATCATCTCTTTTTAGAAGCCTCTCGGTCACTTTTCAGATGAGGAAGCAGAGGCTCACAGCAACCTTAATGTCTTGGGCTCAGAAATGGCTGTACTTGACTTGAACCCCCATCTGCCTCTTTCTACCTTGGGCAAAGTTATATTGTATCCAGAATCAGGGCAGAACCAACTAGCCTAATCCTGCACTCCTGGCCTCTGCTCACAGAGCACTCCAGCCTTCCAGCTCTTTGGACTTTCCCTTGAGAAGGGAGAGAAGAAATCCATCATGAGGGGCATCCCTGTTTCATCCCAAGTCTAAGGGCCCCAGGAAAGGTCCTCTCGCTAATGAGATCACACAAAGCAGCACTAAGAAAGCAGAGGGGGAAACTGAGGTGCAGAAAAAGGATGTGATTTATTTGCTTGGGCCCAACTCTGCCTCCACTCTTACTAGGTTTGTTTCATGCCACCCCTCTCTTCATACTTACTTGACTTTCCAGACCTGTGCTGTTTGGTACAGTAGCCATTAGCCACATGTGGCTATTTATATAGCACAACGTTGAAAATTCAGCTCTCTATCACACTGGCCACGTTTCGAGTGCTCAGAAAACACATGTGGCTAGTGGCTGTCATGTTGGCAGTGCAGACAGAGAATGTCTGCCTAATCATAGAAGATTCTATCAGAGCGCTGTAGAGTGTCATAGGGCTTGTCTCAGTGTCAGCCCAGAGGCAGCCGGGGCTGTGAGAAATACTTCCCGGAGACTGGGATAGTTTGGGACTACACAGCAGCCTGACTGAATGCTTCTGCCTCTGTAGCCCCAGAATGAGTGAAAGGTGCCCAAGGAAAGGAAAGTTTTGATTAGCCAAATGCTAAGTCCCTCTTATGTGGGTTATTTAGGATTAGAATAAGACAGAGAGGAATGGGCTCTGGTCCTGGATTTGGGCCTGGAGGATGCTAAGTGGATGATTTGGGGTGGTCCAAGCTGGTGCTACTAAGTCATTTGAAGCTCAGTTATTAACTTCCATTAACTGAATGTTAACTTTATACTGTGTCCCATGCTAAGAGCCTGTCACGAACCTTTGAGGTAAGCTCAGTTGCAAACTCCACAGAAAAAGATTGAGGCTGAGAGAGGTTAAGTAACTACTCCAATGTCACACAGCAGGACCAAGATGTGTGCGTTGGATCTGGTACTCATGACAACCACTTCAGGATAGCAGGTGCAGAAAACCTCCTGAGATTGGGAGGAGAGTTAGTTCCACCTCCTACTCCCCCTTTCCCAGCTGATGAAAGCCTTCCACAAGGGCAGTCTGGACAAATTCTCACATGCTGGGACTTAGGCAAAGCACCTACCTGGTGGGAGACGGGGAGGGCTGCCACTGCAACCCTCTCCTCTGGAAAGAGGCATGCTAACTGTGACAGCCCAAACCTCTGTATAGCCCCTGCCTTAGAGGTAGCAGAAAATGGACATGGTGGGTCACTAGAAAGCTTCTTAAAGCCTCTACGTTCTTTGGACCTTGAACTTCTCCCA